AACTTGTCTCATTGATCCTGATATGTTTAATGTTGCCTAGCAGTGACCTTCTTTTCTCTCTCTGCGATTATACCATTCAGGTGTCATGTTACATTCTTTTAAAACTGAAGTTACAGTCCTCTTATAGGTGGAGTGTCTTTGCAACCAGCCAGTGTTGAATCGTTGCTCTAAAAATTTTAAATTCTGGTTCTATACAACAAAAATACTACAGTGACAGTAGTATAAACATGTGGTTCTCTGTGTTTGCAGGACAACATGTTCTCATTTGATGTGGAAAAAGAAACATTTGCTTTGAAACCCATGAACTGTCCAGGACATTGGTAAGCATGATCACATTTTACTGACACTAATCTGTAGTTAAAAAAAGAATATGATTTTACCACTGGATTTGGAATGTGATCTTTTACTCTGAGAGAAGAACATCAGTAACAAATACTTGTAAACAAAGTGCTCAGGAAAATATTTCCACCTAAGAAGGATGAAGTGAGTGGAGATGTAACAAGGACCTTCTGATTTATACAGGTAAACTAATATCATTAAAACGGTGAAATGAAGGTAACACTGGATGGATTTATAGTTGAGATTGGGGATACAAGGAATTACTTTGGAGTTTTGATGGAAAACCCCTTGAAAAGGCTACTTCAAAGACGGGTGGAAAATTTGAGGAAATCATGATTGGAAGCAGGTGGAACTGGTTCAGTATGATGTCTAGTGGCAGGTTTATGTACTTGCAGCATTGAATCTTCAGGTTCAAGACCCAGAGAGTCTTATATTAATTTATGCTTGACATATGAAATTATATTGATTTTAAAGAATAAGAATGTATGATCCTCCAAAAACCTTGATACCCACCTACCAGAGAGTATGTTGTGATAAATTAGAAGATCACACAGTATGAATCTTCACTGTAGTGAAAACAACTCTTACATACATTTTATTGTATGTAGTTGGCTTTCGCTTGTAAAGTTCAGACTTTATTTTCCATAATGGATGAGTGTAATAGTTTCATTTACAGTGTGA